TAGGTAGGTATTGAAAAATTAAACCAACGTTTTTATAACCCTAGTAGCATCTGGCAAGTGGCCATTAGCAAAACTGTTCAATGTATGAATGTGAAAAGCAACATATGTTACAGTGACAGCCATTTGTAATTGAAAGCTTGAGATCTGAAACTGGTTCCCATTGACATGGGTCTGTGGTTAAAAGGTGAATTCTAGGAGGCTGAAGAGGCTGCCCCCCTCCCGCTGCCCTGATTATTTTCAGAGTATTTGAGTATTTTTCAGAGTATTCAGCAGAGCTCTATTAGAAATTCTGGATAAATAATGTTGGCTGCCCAGCCGCCTAGGATGGGCCCGTGGCACAGGCAAGCCCAGATAGTGTCCGCCCAGAGGCCCAGGGCAGCCCAAGACCCTGGCAACCAGTGACGGCCAAGGCTTGCACTGCCAACAGTGGCAGCAGCAGAGTTGTGATGGGGGCATCACCTTCCCCTGATCACCTTCCCCTGATCACCACCCCTGAGAGCTCCCAGACTGTGAGAGGGGGCAGGCCAGGCTGAGAGACCCTCTCCCCCTCCAGTGCATGAATTTTCATGCACAGGGTCTCTAGTCTTATTAGTAATATACCATGAAGTAGATAGTTACTGATGAAACAAGATCAAAAGGATAAAATACACAAGAAAGTTCCATGTGTTAAATAATCTGACTGATACTTTACCTATAACATGTCTACAAAGACAGACTAAGTGGTTAGCTTTTCAACTCAAGAAAGATGTCAGATGTCACTATCTTTTAAAAAGCAGATTCGCAGGGACATATATAATACTTTCAACAATAAAGATCAAAAACAATAAGAGCACATTCACACTCATATTATTGTAACCTTATAAATCAATCTCTCAGGGCAAATTGTAATAAAAAGGGAGGGAACTGAAGCCCAGCATGGGAACATTATAGGGATACTGTTACCTATTAGCTGAGTGGCAGTTTACTGAAGCTCTCTCAGCCCGTTAACTTACTTACAAATTGGGGATTTTGCTAGTACCCCATTGGGATGGTGAAATAATTTACAATCAAAGCACTGTCAGGGTAGTGCCCATCACCTTGGAAACACTAAAAAACGTTATCATTATTTGGGTTGGTTAAATTGTCAGTTGGTTATGAGTTTGGAGAAGGAAAACTATGCTGACTTCTAGGATATACAGTTGATCCTCGAACAACACAGACTTGAACTTTATGGGCCCACTTGTACGTGGACTTTTTTTCAATAAATACTGTAAATGTGTTTTCCTTATGACTTAATATTTTCTTTTCTCTAGCCTTATTGTAGGAATACAGTTTGTAATATATATAATGTACAAAACATGTGTTGTCTGTTTATTTACTGCTAAGGCTATTAATAGTTCAGTTCCTGAACCAGACATGTATTAGGGGAATCAAAAGTTATATGTGGATTTCCGACTGTGAGTGGGGTCAACACCCCTTCATCCTGCGTTGTTCAAGGGTCAACTGCATTTACTTCCTTACTCTCTTTAAATCTTACCGTGGGGCACCTTTACCTATTTGTCTGAGCAGGCCCAATGTTATTTTTAGTCTTGAGGACTACGCCAGTCCTCATTCTATATCCCTAACCCTAACACCTGCAGGAAAACCATGCTATTGTGGAATTTTTAGAATTTGGGGAAAAGTTTTAGAATTTGATTTAGACCTCTTTTGTTCTTTATCACACTAGACTTTTCCATATAAAAATTTAATTTAGGTTTAGGGTATTTAAAAATATATCTGATTAAAATTAATATTTTACAACAAATAAAATAGAAAAATCTAATTAAATTGTGTATCAGTTGACACAAGGTAATTTATTTAAAATTACCTTAAAGCAGGTGAAGCAAAATGGCAGTGAGACTGCACCCCCAAATATCTCTACTCATCACAGTCCTAAGACAATTATTATTTTTTTTCTCCAAGGATTTGAATATAAACACACAGAAGTGGAATTCTTTATTTTGGTAAACATCCACACAGGGGATCAAATTATTTGGGAATGCTACCAATGAGAAAAAAATGGAAATATATATTGAAAAAAATTCTTACTGAATTTTCTAGCTCTGAAGTATAGAATTTGTTTTAAAGTGATATAATAACTTCCAAATGGGAAGGGAGAGCAGTTCACCCATCTTTGGAATTTGAAGTTTTGCTATTGATTGGACAGTGTGGTGCTGGGGAAAATTAAACTTAATGAATGCTTTATTATTAACTAGCTGAGTGACTTGGATTAAACATTTAACTCTTGAACTTCAAATCTCATATTCTTAAAATGAGGAATTTGGATTTGATAATTCCCAAGGTTCCTTCTAGATCTAAAATTTCACATTACGGTCAACATTCAGTTCACTTTAAGGAACAATTAACTAGTACCTACTATTTGAAAGCACTGTACAAGGTACTAGGGATATAAAACTAAATGTAATAAGTTTCCTGCCCTCAAAGGTTTAGAATCTTATGGATAATTAAAACCATGGGATATTTACAGAATATTATGTAGTCATTTATACCTGTTTTATTATTCAAAAACATGTGTGGTCAGAGAGGTTTAGCAGACCAATAATGAGCTTTGCCGCTCAATCTTCAGGCTGTAGCTGACCCACTACAAAGATTTGAATAAATTACTATCTGTTTTTTATTTGAAAATAATCATACTGAGTTAACTGAAAAAAAAAAAAATAACAGAGGCTGTACATTCTAACTTTTTTAGGGATACCCTGTGCCAGAAGAGTGCTGGACCAAGTAGCAGGCAGGTCCCTCATGTAGCTTAATTATTGTTTCCCTACATTATTATAAAGTTTGCTGCAAATAAATCCATATAGCAAATGGTTACCTAAGACAAATTAATTGTGGGCTTATTTGAATTTTCCCAAAATAACATCTGTGTCTCAGCCCTTGAAGTATGATGATGATGAGCAGTAACAGACCATACAAATATTACAATATACAAAATGTTATGAACTTGAATAAACTATATGTCATTTATCATTTCCTAGATGTAGAACAGGTTGAAAACATTAATGGGATAAGGAATGCAGGAGCACCTTTTCTGCTGAGAGTAAGGACAGGCATTTTGCAGTTATAATCTGTGGGACCAGGATGGCCTATCTCAGGGTCCAGAGGTAGCTGACCCTCTCAGTAGGGCCCAGCTGACGCTCTGTCAGGTTAAAGGTCACCAATATGGTTGATATTCCTGTGTTGAGAAGGAATCCGAGGTGGCTAAGTTCAGGGTTAATTATGAAATTCTATGATTAGATGTTCCTAGAAGCAGAAGTGTTTGAATGATAGAAATAGCATAGATTATATTTATAAATTACTAAAGGCCCAATGCACGAAATTCATGCAAGGGGCTTGGCCCTTGCAGTGGAGGCATCCCCCGAAGGTCGTTCGGCTGTATGGTCTAATTAGCATATCATGCTTTTAGTATTATAGAAGACAGGGATGTAATGTATTAAGGAGACATTACGGTATTACAATGCCAGGGGTATGGGACAGGGGAACTGTTCGGATTCCGTTCTTCAAATATTTTGTGTTTGGAGTCACATCATGCCCTGATTTGAAATCTTGGCTGTAGAAATCCAGCACCAAGACCACTTTTGTTTGGTTGAGGCGGGATCAGCAGAACGCTCCGGTGTCTGCTGGGCTCGGGCCTCGGGCCTCGGGGTCCCGGGAGGTGGTTGGTGTACAAAGTGCAGTGATTGGGGTAGGAGGTAGCGATCCTCCATGAATGCCTCAAAACAACATTTCTCACTACAATAATGTGAGCGAGTTGGTTTGAAAGGACTGGAAAAAAAAAAAAAAAACTGGTCGGAACTCATGAAAACGGTGCAAATTCTTGACTTCGGAAACTCAGTAGTCAGAAGTCACTTAAGTTTAACGTCTTCCTCTGCCAAGGAACAGCCAGCTTGTTTTCTGGACCAACTCCCAGCGCCGATGACTGGACTGGCTCAGCTCACCGAGCGGTCCTCGCAGGGCCGGGAACCCGCGGGGGTGCGGCCGGCGTCCGCGGCTCAGCGCGTGGCCCTGGGGTTCAGCTTGCAGACGGATGTACGACGGCCGATGCCCGCGACACCCGACGCCTTCGGAACAGCCCGTTTGTGACGGAGGGGGAACATGTGTGCTAACTCTGGAAAAGACGTGCATTGGACATCGGCGAGACAGACTGTTGTACAAGAAATGGGAATCCGTTCCTCCCCAGCGTGTTTGCTGGAAATGAAGACGCGGCGATCCTTCATCCAGTGTCCAGCCGTGGGAAACAGCTTGCAAGAGGAGTCCAAGTTCGGCGCGGACTGGGCTCCTGCAGAGAGGTGCTCGCGAGGCAGGCGGGAGACCCGCACGCGAAGCGCCAGGCACCGAGGACCGGCTGCCTCTCCTACTCAGTTGCAGCGAGACACGCACGCTGCAGCCCCGACGGCGCCTCCCCTTCTGGGTTTTTCTGGGAACACTCCGCGTGCTTTGTTTCAGGCGCCGACCCGTCCTTCTTGGTTGGTCTGCGGCTCCACCAATCCAATCCCGCCCGCGGCGAGGCGGAGCTTCAGGGTCAAGGTGGACCCATTCCCCAGCCTCGCCCCCTTCCACGCGCTTGCAGGATTTCCCCCCCCCCCCCCGCCTCCGGGGTTGAGTGACAGCAGCCGGGACCAACCTGATACTCCAGAGCGTGGTCTCCGCCAGGAGCGTTAGGAGGGGTGGGGGTGGGGGGGGGGAAACGAGGAGCCTGGACCAATCGCATCGGACTTCGGGGGGCGGAGCCTCTTGGACCGCTCGGGAAACGGCGCGCTCTACACGCCTTTCGTCCAATGAGAAGCGCGGAGGGGGCGGGCCCTCGGCCGAGATCCGTCCAATGGAGGAGGCGAGGTGGGCGGGGCTGGAGTGCCTGGCGGCGGGTCCTCAGCTCCCGAGAGCCGAGGTGCGGCGAGCCGGCGGGGCTACCGCGAGGCGAGCGCGGGATCCGGGCGGCTTGGCGGGGTGTGAGCTGTCCGAAGATGCACTCGGATGCTGCCGCTGTCAGTGAGTAACGGAGCGAGAGCGGAGAGCGCGGGCCGGGACCGGGGGAGGGGGGGCTGCCGACACTCCACTCGGCTCTCGCGGTGCCCGCGCCTCCTGTCCTGAAACGCGCGGGGACCCCCAGCCCGAGAGCCACCCCTGAACCCCGAACCCCGAACCCCTCCCGGGGCCGGGCAGGCGGCGCCGCCTGGGGCAGCGCGGGGCGGGCGCGGGGCGGGCGCGGGGGGAAGGGGCCGGCCTGCTGGGGGGGAGGGCGGCGGGGAGGGGGTGGGGACTGGCTCTATTTCAGTGTTGGGGGAAGGGGGGGGGCGGGACGGGAGATGAAGGGCCGGGACCGGAGTGTGTGGGGTGAATGGAGGTGGACGCGGTGGCGGGCGCTGAGCCGGCAGGGCTCGGGGGGAGGGTGGCGGCACGGGAACGAGCGAGCGAGCGGGGCGCAGGGGTGAGGGCTTCCTCGGGGCTGAGCCGAGCGGGGCCGGCGGTTCCGCGAGGAAGGCGGCGGGTGAGTGCTCGGGGAGGGGAGCGCGGGGGCGGGGACAATGGGAAGAAGGGCTGGTGGGCGGGGGTGGCGGTGGGGGGAACAATGGGGTGGGGGAATGGGGGCCGCGGCCGAGCGGGGCCAGAGGGCGGGCGGGCGGGCGGGCGGGGAGAGGCGGGTGGATGTAACGGGAGAGCGCGATGGTGGTGGGGGGAGGGATCGGGTTGTGATGGGATAGATAGTTGGGGAGTCCGGCGGGCGGGCGGGCGGGCGGAGGGGCATTGGAAGGCTGATGGGGGGTCACTGGGAGTGGCACCTCGGGGGTAATAGGATGGAGCAGGTGTTGGGAGGACGGAGTCATTGTAAGAGGAGAGGAAGGAGGGCAGGGTTTGGGGTGTCCCGGATGGGGGCAGGGGTACAAGAGGTGCGGGTGTGGGTGAAGAGCTAGTTGGGAGGCAGTGGGGGGCTGGGAGGGGCCGGGGCTGGGGGTGGGACTGGCAAGTCCAGATCCCGTCGGTGCAGGGCTTGGGGGGTGGGGGGTGGGCTTGGTGAGTTTTGGGGAGGTGTTTCCCCCTCTCCCATCAGGGGTCTCTGGAGTGAGCTCCGGGGTGTGGAGAGAGAAGGGGGCGGGGTGAGGCGGAGGGGGCGGGGTGAGGCGCCCCGGGGTTGGCGCTGGCCGCGATTCCCCCGGAGCTTCCCCCGGAGCGGCGGGTAGCGAGGTCAGCGCTGGCACGGGCTCCGGCTGCAGGGCTGGGAGGTGGGATTGGGGTAGGGGCACGGTGGGGAGCCGGAGAGATCGGGCCCCGGAGGCCCGGTGGAGGGTGGTTTGCGCAGGGGAGGCGTCGAGGTCCTTGGCAAGTCCCTGGATTTGGCAGGCTGTGACGCAGTTTTCTAACATTTGGTCGTCAGGTGTGGAGGCTGGTGGCCCGGGACCCCGCTTCCCTGCAAGAGGGCTCTGGGTCTGAGACCCCCCCGGTAGTGCCTGGGAGACGAGACCACCTTCCCCAGCGCTTTAGGGGTTTCCTTTAGGGTCTGGCTCCAGTTGCCGGGCGTGAAGGGGGAAAGGCGGTCCTGTGGAATTCTGGGACTTGTAGTCCTAGTCGCGGTTGGATTGGGTGCACGTGGGTAACTGTGGAAACGAGTCCCAGAATGCAGCGCGCCCCTCGGAGCCTCCCTTCGCTGCTAACTCGTGCTTTATTCCCAGCGGACCCCAGAGGGCTCTTGGGAGGTTCTTCGGTCCCCCGGGACTAGGAAAGGTTCCCTGGACCAGACCTCCCTTTGTCAGTGGGAGGGGTAGCACCAAGCAAGTGCAGGGCTTTCACACTTGGATTCTTGATCCCGGACACTTGGTTATTTCCCCTTGCATGTGGTGGCCTTATTTGTAGAATAAACGCTTAGTGTCTTGAACCATCGCGCATAGGTTGTGGGAGAAACATTCCAGACACCACGCAAGATAAAGCAGCATTTAGGATGGTTGTGTGTAAACACTAAGTTAAAAGGTGTAGTCTTCTATAAATGTGGGAATGCAGTGAAGGTAGACGTGACCCTTGTGATGGAGATATATTTATGTGTGTATATATGTATATATGTATATATATATGTGTATATATATCTATATCTATACATATAGATATATAATGTGTTTGTATTTCTTGGGTTGTTTGGATTGTCCACTGATGAAGAGACTTTTTGAAAAAAGATGAACTTGAATTGAGTGATGGAGGTGGCTTAATAGAATTGAGTGGTCTCATTCATAAAGCCAGCATGAAAATGTGAAGATAAATAAAGGGAATATGTCTTCTGTTTTCAAAGAAGCTGAAGCAAATAAGACTAAAGGTAAACTCAGTGGAGGACCTTTAGAGGTTTTCATGTTTGTTTGTTTTTTGCTGTGGCTTGTAATTTCTTTTTTCCTGCCTTTATAACATGAGACCATCTTAGTCTGTAGACTCCCCAAACATTACATCCTTTGCAGGTTCCCTTTACCCTTTACTAGTATATGCAATGATTTCAAAAATCTATAATATAGAGGCCCATAAGATTAGCTCAGAAATGACAGATCATTTTTATGTGATGTATCTTTTTGGTTAATCCTCACCCAAAGATCTTTTTTCCATTGGTTTCTTTTTAGAGAATGTGGAAGGGAAGGAGGGAGGAGGAGAGAGAGAGAAATATGTGAGAGAGACACATTAATTGGTAGCCTCCCAAACATATCCAGACCTGAACCCAGTATGTGTCCTTGACCAGGTATCAATCCCACAATCTTAAAAAACGGTCCATGGCTCTACACTCTAATCAGTGAGCCACACTAGCCAGGGCTTATGTGATATTTTTGAAACCTTTGGTAACATAGTCACTAGAAGAATATTATAATGACCTTAATGATAAAAATTTTACCAAAAGTCCTCTAAGATTTGGAAACCTTTCAGTATGGTTACAAATATACAGTACTCTTTCATATTGGGAAAGATTAATGATGGATCTTTTCATTATGGCTGAAAAATTGGTCAATGTGCATTTTTTTTGGAGGAATAATTTATATTTTTGTGTTCATGGTGAAATATCCAGGAAATTCTTTGTGATATGTAAATATGTAATATAGACATATTTTAAAAAATATACCTTTAATACTGAAAATTGCTCTCATAAAGGGTAAAAGTATAAGAGGTTGAAAACAATAGTTGTAATTGTCTTCAAGATGGTATTTTTTAAAGAAAATATTAGGTTAGTCATTTCCTTCCTCTTTTCTTTTCCTATTACATTCCAAAGGGAACAGGTATCCTTTACACACACACACACACACACACACAACCCACCCCATACCGTAGCCCTCCAAACTCTAGGTTTCTGTACTTTATTAGCGTACACTTTCTGCTCTGGTTTTTAGGCTCCTTGATTTTTGGCCCACTGAGAGGTCCTTTATTTCTTGTAAAGTTAGCTATATGTTTAAACAGATGTTTCTTACACTTTACCCAGATTTTTAGGACTCTTTTATATTGGGAAGGATTTTTGGGTGTCCTTGTCTATAACATTGCCAAAAAAGAAAGTTTCCCTAATTTTCTCCACCTTTGAGTACGTCTATACAGTTATGCTTTTCTTACTCTGTTCCTGCCTCAAAGAAGTGCCCTTACTAACACGTGATCACATTTTTAAAATGTTATTAATAATTTTCTGTTTTTATCTTTAGCTGCTCCCAGAAGCTTTTATTAGCTTATTGCGTTCTTCTTGACCATAGTATTTTGGGTTATTCTCATCTCAATAATAATAATATTGTTCACTCAGCAGTTAAAAATCAGCCTGTCAGAAATTGACCTTGTGATGACCTTTTTTTTAAATTTGGATGTCTTTGGCAAGTAACACAACTCAATTAAAAATGGCTTGAATAATAGAGCTTATTTTTTAATAGCAAGAAGCCTAATAGTAAGACTTATGTTCTTATCTAGGTTCCAAGGCTGGTACAGCATCTTAATGATAACTTAAAAATCTATATATAGCCAAAACCGGTTTGGCTCAGTGGATAGAACGTCAGCCTGTGGACTGAAAGGTCCCAGGTTCGATTCCGGTCAAGGACATGTACCTTGGTTGTGGGCATATCCCCAGTAGGGGGTGTGCAAAAGGCAGCTGATCGATGATTCTCTCTCATCAATGTTTCTAACTCTCTATCCCTCTCTCTTCCTCTCTGCAAAAAAAATCAATAAAAAATAATATTAAAAAAAAGAATCTATATAACTTTGCATCCTTTTCTTCCTCTATTTTTAGTATTTTGACTTATCAAAAGTCTCAGGCTCATTTGCCTCATGTTTGCAAAGTGGTTGCTGCAGCACCAGACATAAGATAGGTGGGGAAGGAGTTTATTTATTTATAATTTCCTCTTAACAGAGAAGTGTCTTTTCCAGTAAGTCATCTTGGAGACAACTTAAATTTCATTAGTTAGAATGGATTTCATGCCACTGCTACTTATGAAGGAGTTTGAAAAAGTGAAATCTGGTGTTTTTCAGCTTTGTTATGGGGGAAGGGTGAAGAGAATGCCCTGGGTTGGCAGCCTAAAGGTTATATCCCTGAACCAGCTACTTTACCTGTCAATGGCTTGGTCTTAGTCTTTTTATCTGTTAATTTTTTTTTCTACATCATTATAAAATACTAGATGTGACTTACAAAGTATAGATTAAAATCCTGTTTAGAGAAAGAAAATAAACTATATATTTACAGGCTGCACATAAATGCTTGCTACATAATAGAAATAGGCCATTATGATAATATTCATTATAACTTATATATGTATTTGGCTTTGAGCTTCTTAGTAGGCAAAACAAAGAGGAAAACAAAGCCAATTTTATTCATTTGGGTAATGTAACTACAATTTATTTAATAACAAAAGCTAAAAGCTTAGACATTTCTTATTCTCTCTCCATGGTCAGTACTGGAAAAGAGGTTGCATATCTTTTCATACCTGTTCCCTCTGGTATCTGTTGTCATCACCTTAGATCTATCTGACCCATCTTTTCTTATAATTAGAGGCCTGGTGCAC